TGAAGACAAGAAAAAAGAAACTAAATTACGAAGTCACTTGCAATCGCCACTTGCACTCTCCGACACCTGCGACGTCACTTGCAATCGACACAAATCGTGCGTGTTGCCAATGGAGACAAGACGCTGTGGTGGTGATTAAACGATTATTTTATTTTATTTAGTCATTTATTAGAGGCTTTTATCCAAAGCGACAACAGAAGCAATCAATTGTAGTAGTAGTTTATCAGTAATCCTAAAAAATAACACTGAGCCAAACACACACATGCTAAAAAACATCAACTTACACATAGTAAGAAATGGTTATTAAAAACTGAAACAGATGCGAAACAAGTAATAGGAAAGAGGAGAAATAAAAAGCAATACTTATTAAAACTAATGAAAGTGCTATACAAGTATAAGTATTTAGTACAATGGTCCTGCAAGAAAAAGACAAGACCCGCAAATCCAATGGAGACAAGACGCTGTGGTGGTGATTTAATGATTAAAACCAATTTAGTCTACTATAACATACAGGGTCCTGCAAGAAAAAGACAAGACCCGCAAATCCGTCGCCACAGAACAGCAGAATATTAACGCAATGCGCAAAGTCTCTTGTTAAGTGTTTTCCTCCTGTAGAAAAACATAAACACTTAACATGGCTTAATGTATTAAGATTAAGTGCAATTAAAAGATCAAATTCAATATGTAGTTATTATTTAATGTACTACAAGGCAGGCAGATGGCCATGAACACAATGCGCAAACTTTCACTTGTCCTCCCATAAAGCAAAACGCTTAATGTGGCATAATAACGGATGATAAAGACAATTCAGTAGCCTATATGTCTTGTATGGACAAAGACAATGATATAAAAGAGCTGTAGACAGTTTATTCTATATGGAAAAACGCTTAACGCGAAACTGTGCTCACAGTTTTGGGCTCACCTGCTTGCCTGTATATGAGTTATGTAGACTAAGTTCCATGTTAAGTGTTTATGTTTTTCTACAGGAGGAAAACGCTTAACTAGAGACTTTGTGCATTGCGTTCATATTCTTCTGTTCTGTAGCCACGGATTTGTGGGTCTTGTCTTTTTCTTGCAGGACCATTCCAAAACTCGCGTTTGAATCATCAGTGGCAAATCCTTTAAATGAAAACGTACTTACAGTCTGTGAGTCAGAGCAGCCGTCATTGTAGTCTACTCTTCCAGGATCAGGAAACAGTCCTCCATAAAATGTGCTGCACACATCTGAATATTTGGGTTGAACTGTTCTGGAACAGTGTTGTAAATACAACTTAACCACTGATTTCTAGTCGTGTCCTCTTTTGGAAGACCAAACAAAGTAGTTTAGCTTTCACAACGAAACAGTGTCTTCACGACATGGCGGCGGTGGTGGCAGCAACAATAAAGTTACGCCTTCTTTCTTTGCGTGAACATTTGGGCGGTGTTATGCAAATCTTCCCACACAGTGACGTAGACATGTGGGGGCGTGTTTAAATGAGGCGCTTTAGGAGGGCGTGGACCAGTCTTAACTTTTATAAAGAATATCTCTTTGGGTTTGAGACTTTAGTCTGTGCAACTTTAGGGATCTTATCTATGCACAGCTTGTAACACTCCAAAGAGAAAGGAAAACTTGAAATCACATCATATGACCCCTTTAAGAAAATCATTTTTTTCATTGAATGGGATTTTCAGACTGTTGCGCTCTATGCGATGCATACAGAAAATCAACATGATGTACAGAGAATACGTACATATTGTACACTGCAAAAACAGCATGTATAGTATTATAGTGTGTAAGAAAATTATTTTTTGTTCCTAGAGAAGTATTTAGTTTTAGCCATAAGAGTATAACCTTTCCAGACAGACCTACCATGAGCTCTGAGGTTATGAAATGATGCAGTATGCTTCCATTAAAGCCACAGACTCAGTGCATTTAATTGCTGCAATCTTTCCGGAAACCCGAGAGAAGTGGGCGGTTGGTGAGCTGGAAGACATTTGCACGGTTAATGCCGGATGGCTTGCCGCTTAATAGTGAGAGATATTGACGAATTTGCATGTGCATTAAAAAATTAATGGAAGAAAAGGTAAGATTGAAGAACACATGCATATAACGCTTCAAGCTGTTTTTTAGATTTAATATTCCAACGTTGTCACACTTAAATAGTTTCAACCCATGAGGAACGTGAGGACAAGGAAGGGAGGGTCGTGAAATGATTTCGTGTGACAGAGGAGGAGGAGGAGGAGGCCGAGGAAATGAAAGAAGAGAGAGACATAGAATGTGTAAATTGATTTGAAGGTCGGATATGCATGAATAATTAATATCCAGAGGAAAACACTGCTCACTTTGTAGTGGGTCTCTTGCTCGAGAGAGAGACGGAGTGAGAGATAAGTTTCTTGTGTTCAGAGTTTTAATCCGGCTACTAAATAAGTGAACACACACACACACACACACACACACACACACACTTGGCTGTGTAATCCAGTCTGGTCATGGGGAGCCTTCAGAGGGCCGTGGTGGCCAAGTGCTGAATTGATTTTACACACTTCTTTTCTTGATCGCTCAGAGGCCTTTTTTGTGTGCTTTAAACTCACAGACTCTTAGATTTAGATCTTTAAAAAAATGCCCTTGAAAGGCTTGAAGGATTGAGATTTTAAGTGGTCAAACATCACTAATATTATTGCTATAGTCACTGTTAGTGATTTGAACAAACCCAACATTTTCATCAAAATACTCTGAAATGATTTTTTTCATCTGATGTCATCAGTCCCTCTTATTAAATAGAGACACTTTTTATCATGCAGTCAATTCCTCATAGATAAAATCCCACTCAGTCCTTTTTTCGCCTCATTGAATATCGTTGTACTTGGAAATTCATCACACTTAAGAAGTAAAGAGGTTTGTGATCATTTCAGAACAAGACATTTTAACATCTTAGTTGTAATAAACTGACTTTTTGCACTGGAAAATGAGTTATGAGATCTGAAGGTTAAGAAATGTCTACAGTGCATTATGTATTTATTTTTTCAAAATAAAGGATTATATTTTTTATTTTACTTTTCATGATGTGGCCCTTTTAATAAATAGTAAATCTTATTATTAAATCTTGTTTCCTCGTTTAATAATAAGATTTTTTTATTTATTGTATGTGTATTAAAGGGGCAATATCATATAGTAAAACAAAATAAAGAGGTGAATTTTTTCTTTAAAATAAATGTTTGTATTTGAATTTACTTTTGTTTTGTTTTGTTTTGTTTTATTTTATTTTACTTTTCATGATATGTCCCTTTAATAAATATTAAATAAACTCTTATTTATAGACTTACTTTTTATAATAATAATAAATAACTATTTATTAAAGGGAAATTAAAAATTCATACCATAAAGTTAAAATAAAATAATAATTAAAGAATATCAAATAAAAATAATAAATGTTCATATTTTATTGAATCTATTTTATTTTACTTTTCATTGTATAATCCCTTTAATAAATAGTAAAATTTAGATTTTATAAATAGTAAAATCTTCAATTTTATTCATTTCATTACACCAAATACACAAAATAATGTTCTTTTTAGCAACATCATATGACCCCTTTAATAAGTAATCAAATGCACCATTTTTACTTTCTGGACCATAAAACAGATGCAAGATCCCACCAGACACGCATTGAAAGATGCATAGCAACAATCTAAAAACCTTCCAGAACGTCCTAGCAACTGCATAGCAACAGTCTAAAAACCAGGAGATCACAAATTTGGAGATACAGAACTCTTTTGCCGCGAAACAGTAAAGCACCCTAGCAACTGCAATGATTTAAAATCCTTCTGTAATGCCCTAGCAACTGCATAACAAAGCTCTAAAAGCTGACCAGAACCCCCTAGTAACTGCATAGCAACGCTCTAAAAACCTCCAAGAACACCCTAGCAACTGCATAGCAACAAGTCTAAAAACCAGGAGATCACAAATTTGGAGATACAGAGCTCTTTTGGCACGAAACAGTAAAGCACCCTAGCAACTGCATAGCAATGCTTTAAAAACCTTCTATAACGCCCTAGAAACTGCATAGCAACACTCGAAAAAATGGCCAGAATGCCCTAGCAACTGCATAGCAACAGTCTGAAAACCAGCTAGAACAGCCTAGCAACTGTGCATAGCAACACTCTAAAAACCAGCCCGAGCAGCCTATCAACTGCGTAGCAACACTCTTAAAAACTGGCCAGTACGCCCTAGCAACGGCATAGCAACGCTCTTAAAAAAACGGCCAGTATGCCCTAGCAACTGCATAGCAACCATCAAGAAACCGTCCAGAACAGCCTAGCAACTGCGTAGCAATGATCTAGAAACCTCCCAGAACGCCCTAGCAACTGCATAGCAACGATCTTAAAAACCATTCAGAATGCCCTAGCAACTGCATAGCAACACTCTAAAAACCCTCCCAGGACACCCTAGCCTAGCAACTCTTCAGGGCGGTTTGTGTCTCTGGAAGGTGTTTGCGATGTTTTTCCATTTGCAGTGTTTTCTGGGAGGTTTTAGGCTGTTTCAGTGTGTTCGTACAGCAGATCACACACTCACACTCACACTGACAGACAAGCCCTGCTGTTCCACATCAATATTTCAGCATGTTCAGTTTGAAGAGTGGTCGTCATGCTTATGTAGGGCATCACACTCACATCACCAACACACGGCCACACGTGACACATCACCACATTCCACACCTAAAATCCAAAGATAAGAGTCAGAAATCATATTGTGCATAAAGAAATTGAAGCCTGTTTTAGGACTGTTAGGATTTGTTGCTTTGTGATCATTTTCAAACACATTTCCCCTCAAAATCTTACTTTAAACTGCATAGCAACGCTCTAAAAACCTCCAAGAACACCCTAGCAACTGCATAGCAACAAGTCTAAAAACCAGGAGATCACAAATTTGGAGATACAGAGCTCTTTTGGCACGAAACAGTAAAGCACCCTAGCAACTGCATAGCAATGCTTTAAAAACCTTCTATAACGCCCTAGAAACTGCATAGCAACACTCGAAAAAATGGCCAGAATGCCCTAGCAACTGCATAGCAACTCTCAAAAAAAAAACACCAAGAAAGCCTTAGAAACTGCATAGCAACACTCTGCAAAACCACTCAGAACACCTTAACAACTGCATAGGAACACTTTAAAAATACTCTTACTAAAAATGATGAAAAATGTGTTTACCCCCCCTTATCATGTGACCATTAACCAACATCAGAGAACTATGAACATGTGAATGTGTTATTGAAATATGAACTTTAAATCTCAGGGTTATTTCACGTAAATGTTTTAGCTCAAAGGGAATCGACTGAAAAAACTTTGAGAATCGCTGTTTTAATGAAATGGTGATTAGGGTGGAATAGAATGTTATGAATGTGAGATACAGAGGAATGCACTACAGGAGCTCAAGTTTTCTGAGGCATGAGGGAAAGTAAATGCTCAAGGAACTGTGGCTTTATTATACATTAGACGCACTTCTTCACTGTTTAATTAACAGCAATGAACTCCAATCATGTTTTCTGATTATGTGTTATGATGTCAGTGCTCTGTTTTTGCAATTTTCAGCTGCGTAATAAGAAGTTTTTTGGACACATTGGTGCTGAGGTGAATGAGTTGGAATCCTCTGATGAGCTGAACTCTGAGCTCTTTCAGCCCAATATAATGAGTCCAGAATCAGGCCTGAACACTGCCAGTGAGGTTAATTGGGACGGCTGACCCTCAGACGCTTGTTACCCAACCAGTCATATCTTTGTTCTGAAGATATCGGGCTGAGCTGAGCTGATCTCGCAAGCTAAATGCTGTGAGTGTTTCCTTGGAGGGATTTTTAGGTTCTGCTCTATTTGCGGATAATAATGGAGACAGACAGGAAATGCTGTAAGACAAACAGTCACACAAACCCTCAACATTAATGATGATTCCCAAATAAAAACATGCAGCTCAGACAATAATCTCAAAACCTCCCAGAGTGCCCTAGCAACTGCATAGCAACAGTCCTAAAAACCAGCCGGAACAGCCAAGCAACTGCATAGCAACGCTCTTAAAAATCAGCCAGAACAGCCTAGCAACTGCATAGCAACATTCTTAAAAACCAGCCATAACAGCCTAGCAACTGCATAGCAACGCTCTTAAAAACCGGCCAGTACACCCTAGCAACTGCATAGCAACACTCCTAAAAACCAGCCGGAACAGCCTAGCAACTGCATAGCAACACCCTTAAAAACCAGCCAGAACAGCCTAGCAACTGCATAGCAACGGCCTTAAAAACCAGCCGGAACAGCCAAGCAACTGCATAGCAACGCTCTTAAACACCAGCTAGAACACCCTAGCAACTGCATAGCAACAGTCTGAAAACCAGCTAGAACAGCCTAGCAACTGTGCATAGCAACACTCTAAAAACCAGCCCGAGCAGCCTATCAACTGCGTAGCAACACTCTTAAAAACTGGCCAGTACGCCCTAGCAACGGCATAGCAACGCTCTTAAAAAAACGGCCAGTATGCCCTAGCAACTGCATAGCAACCATCAAGAAACCGTCCAGAACAGCCTAGCAACTGCGTAGCAATGATCTAGAAACCTCCCAGAACGCCCTAGCAACTGCATAGCAACGATCTTAAAAACCATTCAGAATGCCCTAGCAACTGCATAGCAACACTCTAAAAACCCTCCCAGGACACCCTAGCCTAGCAACTCTTCAGGGCGGTTTGTGTCTCTGGAAGGTGTTTGCGATGTTTTTCCATTTGCAGTGTTTTCTGGGAGGTTTTAGGCTGTTTCAGTGTGTTCGTACAGCAGATCACACACTCACACTCACACTGACAGACAAGCCCTGCTGTTCCACATCAATATTTCAGCATGTTCAGTTTGAAGAGTGGTCGTCATGCTTATGTAGGGCATCACACTCACATCACCAACACACGGCCACACGTGACACATCACCACATTCCACACCTAAAATCCAAAGATAAGAGTCAGAAATCATATTGTGCATAAAGAAATTGAAGCCTGTTTTAGGACTGTTAGGATTTGTTGCTTTGTGATCATTTTCAAACACATTTCCCCTCAAAATCTTACTTTAAAATAATTAATTATTACAAAAAATATTTTCTTAATCAGTATTTTTTGCATCTTTCAAACAAGATGTATTTACTCAAGAAGCTAATTATTAATTACTTTTTTTTTGGTATGGTTTTTCTGTTATTATTTTTATATTTGTTATTTTTTTAAGCTTGTCAGAGTTTATTTTTCTTACCCCAACAACAAAGTGTTGCTTTGCAATTGCTAAGGGTGTTCTGGGTACGTTTTTAGACTGTTGCCATGCAGTTGCTAAGGGTGTTCTGGGTACGTTTTTAGACTGTTGCCATGCAGTTGCTAGGGTGTTCCGGGTACGTTTTTAGAGTGTTGCTATGCAGTTGCTAGGGTGTTCTGGGGAAGTTTTTAGAGTGTTGTTATGCAGTTGCTAAGGTGTTCTGGGTAAGTTTTTAAAGTGTTGCTATGAAGTTGCTAGGGCATTATGAGAGGTTTTATAGTGTTGTCATGCAGTTGCTAGGGTGTTCTGGGTAAGTTTTTAGACTGTTGCCATGCAGTTGCTAGGGTGTTCCGGGTACGTTTTTAGAGTGTTGCTATGCAGTTGCTAGGGTGTTCTGGGGAAGTTTTTAGAGTGTTGTTATGCAGTTGCTAGGGTGTTCTGGGTAAGTTTTTAAAGTGTTGCTATGAAGTTGCTAGGGCATTATGAGAGGTTTTATAGTGTTGTCATGCAGTTGCTAGGGTGTTCTGGGTAAGTTTTTAGACTGTAGCTATGCAGTTGCTAGGGCTTTATGAGAGGTTTTATAGTGTTGCTATGCAGTTGCTAGGGCATTGTGAGAGGTTTTATAGTGTTGTTATGCAGTTGCTAGGGTGTTCTAGGTAAGTTTTTAAACTGTTGCTATGAAGTTGCTAGGGCTTTATGAGAGGTTTTATAGTGTTGCTATGCAGTTGCTAGGGTGTTCTGGGTAAGTTTTTAAAGTGTTGCTATGAAGTTGCTAGGGCGTTATGAGAGGTTTTATAGTGTTGCTATGCAGTTGCTAGGGTGTTCTGGGTAAGTTTTTAAAGTGTTGCTATGAAGTTGCTAGGGCGTTATGAGAGGTTTTATAGTGTTGCTATGCAGTTGCTAGGGTGTTCTGGGTAAGTTTTTAAAGTGTTGCTATGAAGTTGCTAGGGCGTTATGAGAGGTTTTATAGTGTTGCTATGCAGTTGCTAGGGTGTTCTGGGTAAGTTTTTAAAGTGTTGCTATGAAGTTGCTAGGGCGTTATGAGAGGTTTTTTAGTGTTGTTATGCAGTTGCTAGGGTGTTCTGGGTAAGTTTTTAGACTGTAGCTATGCAGTTGCTAGGGCTTTATGAGAGGTTTTATAGTGTTGCTATGCAGTTGCTAGGGCGTTATGAGAGGTTTTATAGTGTTGTTATGCTGTTGCTAAGGTGTTCTAGGTAAGTTTTTAAAGTGTTTCTATGAAGTTGCTAGGGCTTTATGAGAGGTTTTATAGTGTTGCTATGCAGTTGCTAGGGTGTTCTGGGTAAGTTTTTAAAGTGTTGCTATGAAGTTGCTAGGGCGTTATGAGAGGTTTTTTAGTGTTGTTATGCAGTTGCTAGGGTGTTCTGGGTAAGTTTTTAGACTGTAGCTATGCAGTTGCTAGGGCTTTATGAGAGGTTTTATAGTGTTGCTATGCAGTTGCTAGGGCGTTGTGAGAGGTTTTATAGTGTTGTTATGCAGTTGCTAGGGTGTTCTAGGTAAGTTTTTAAAGTGTTGCTATGAAGTTGCTAGGGCTTTATGAGAGGTTTTATAGTGTTGCTATGCAGTTGCTAGGGTGTTCTGGGTAAGTTTTTAAAGTGTTGCTAACTTGCTATGCAGTTGCTAGGGTGTTCTGGGTAAGTTTTTAAAGTGTTGCTATGCAGTTGCTAGGGTGTTCTGGGTAAGTTTTTAAAGTGTTGCTAACTTGCTATGCAGTTGCTATGGTGTTCTAGCTAAGTTTTTAGAGTGTTGCTATGCAGTTGCTAGGGTGTTCTGGGTACGTTTTTGGAGTGTTGCAATGAAGTTGCTAGGGCGTTATAAGAGGTTTTATAGTGTTGCTATGCAGTTGCTAGGGTGTTCTGGGTAAGTTTTTAGAGTGTTGCTATGCAGTTGCTAGGATGCTCTGGGTAAGTTTTTAGAGTGTTGCTATGCAGTTGCTAGGATGCTCTGCGTAAGTTTTTAGAGTGTTGCTATGCAGTTGCTAGGACATTTTGCACATTTTGTCCACCTGTTTTCTGATCACTCACATGATTAGGGGACTCATTTGTGTCTGGAGCTCAAACACTACATGATGACACACACACACACACACACACACACTGAACGCTCTGAGCTCACAGTGTTCAGATGTTCATTATGATGCTCAGCAGACTCACAGGAGTCATTAGCAACGATAATTGCTTGCTCAAATGAACTGTATTTCTGGAGCCAAGAATATGAAGTCATTCAGGAAGAAGCAAGGACAGACTGTCCCACATGATCTCATGGTCTTTACACACAGCTGAAGTCAAACACCTTCCATGAAACACTCCACAATCATCAGAGCTGAACCTCCTCAAACCTTTATGACAACACAGTCACACTGAAATACAGTCAATCAGTTTGTTTGCGCGATTCATGTCAATAAATGATTCACATAGCAACTGAACAATTCACAAACAAGATGCATTTACTCAAAGCTAATTATTAATTACCTTTTTGGAATAATAGTAATAATAACAACAACAACAACAATAATAATAATAATAATAATAATAATAATTTGTGTAGAAAATGTACATATTATTATTATTATATTCCTGTTGCTTTTTTTTCTTACCCCAATAGCATTTTTTTTTTTTTATCTTAATCATAAACCTTGCTATTTATTTGTATTTATCATTTAGTTTTTTTTATTGCTACTTTTTAATATTTATGTTTAAAACAAGAAACTATGTGATCTTTTTCTGAAGCAAAATATTTTTAACTACAAAAAAAATATATCTTAATCAGTATTTTTTGCATCTTTCAAACAAGATGCATTTACTCAAAGCAATTTATTAATTACTTTTTGGAATTTATTATTATTATTATATTCCTCTTGTTTTGTTTTTTTCTTATTTGGCCACTTTTTTGTTTTTGTTTTAATCATAAACCTTGCTGTTTATTTTTATTAATTTTTTTTGCTACTTTTTAATATTTAGCTTAAAACAAGTAGCTATTTAAAATGCTGTTTACCAGTTTTCAACTCAGATATGCAAATCTGTGTGTTCTATAATTTAATGTCAACTTTATTTCAATTTAACATGATCTATGATGTTTTTGCAAAATTAAACAGCATCATCCAATAGATAAACATAGATTTATTTATATTTATAATTTCCCCCTTCTTCAGAAAATGTACAAGTCTTCTCAGGTCCATGTTATTAATAATTTGTGAGTTTTTAACTTTGTTTAACTTGTGTTTAACTTTGCACGGCGCGTTTCATAAGCGCTGATGTTACTGAGGCCACAGGAGGAAACTGCTTGAATTATTTGAAACTGTATAATAGTATAATTGCCTGAAGGAGGTATTTCTGCAGTCCTGCTGTTGTTGTAGTTCTCATTATTTTGGTGCTTGACTCATTTCCTCTCGGTCTCCTCTTGACCCGATCCTGTGACTGAGACGGGTTTAACATCTGTGCTTCCTCTGCTCTCAATGCTGCTCTTCAACATCAGCACACAATGTTTTCTTTCTTTCCAGTCGGAGGATCTCGGAGCGTGTTCTCAGTTCGAGGCCAGTCGTAACGCCCGCAACATGATGCCCAGCATGAGCTGCGGTGTCTTCCCAGAGTTCACGCTCCGCAAACCGTCCTCCGAGACGGACATCGAGAACTGGGCGTCCAAACACTTCAACAAGCACACACAGGTACACCAAAACACCCATTAAACCCTAGAAACCGACTGTTTCATATATGATATGTGAATATCTGGCCTCTAAATGATCAACATGATCAAAATTTTGCTTTACTTTTTAGTTCACAAATATGATCATCAGACATTTGAGGAACGTTTATTTGTTCATCTCTCAATCATCATTGTATTGCATTGCATTATATGTTTGGATCATTTAAATCTCTTGTTACTAAGATATATTATTGGAGATATAGAGCGATGACTGATATTTATATCATTTTATGTCAGTATCTGCTGTACTGTTATAAAGATCTCATTCATTTACATCACAAGCATCAGAATTTCATTGTATAAATATCAGCATCTGCAGCAAATTGCATATTTGCTGCAGTCTCTGAATAAAATTGAGCTATTTTTCCTCCATATTCTCACTATATCATGTTATATGAGTCATAAAAGTATCAAATATGATACAAAACATAAAACACATTTTTTTTTTATATTTTGTCTGAAGGTTCAGTAAACTGTTCCATTTCTAAATAATTAGATTTTTCTGACTATTATTTCTTATGTCAGGCTTTACAGGGTTGAAATATAACATAAAAATGTAACAAAATATTGAAAATGTAACAAAATATTCATAAAAACTAATGAAAATGACACAACAAACTGTTCTATCACAACAAAATTACTAAAATTAAAATGGAAAATTAAAAAATAAAAACAAATTCTAAATATTAATAAAACTAATAAAAAGGACAACAAAAACACACAACAGAGTTGCTCAAACTAAAATGGAAAATATAAAAATTAAAATGAATTCAAAATATTAATAAAAACTAATAAAAATGACAAAAACATGCAACAAAATTACAAAAATTAAAATGGGAAATATAAAAATAAAAACTGATTCGAAATGGTATTAATAACAAGTAATAAAAAAAACTATAAACAAATTACAAAAACAGGCAACAAAATTACTGAAACTAAAATTAAAATGGAAAATATAAAAATTATAATTAATTCAAAATATTAATAAAAACAAAAAAAAAATACAAAAACAACAAAATTACTAAAACTAAAATTTAAATAAAAACATAAAAAATGTTTCAAATATTAGAAGCAAGTAATACAAATTACAAAAACACAAAACGAAATTACTAAAACTAATATTAAAATGTAAAATATAAAAATAAAAATGACTTCAAAATATTATTAAAAACTAATAAAAAATTACATAAATACACAGCAAAATTACTAAAACTAAAATTAAATGGAAAACATATAAACTAATTTAAAATATTAATCAAAACTAATAAAAGAGACAAAAATATGCAACAAAATTACATAAATTTTAGTTTTAGTAAATTTTTATAATATACTAGATGATGCCAACCCTGAAACAACATACAGAACTACCACATTTTAAAAACAAAATTACTAAACTAAAATTAAAATGGAAAATATACAAATAAAAACGAACTAAAAAATTAATAATAACTAATAAAAAATGACAAAATAAAACAAACTTACTTAAAAGTAAAATTAAAATGTAAAATATAAAAATAAAAATGAATTCTAAATATTATTAAAAACTAATAAAAAAACAATAAAATGACTAAAACTAAAATAAAAAATATTTTAATAATATTAAAAATAATTAAAATAAAAAATAAATATAAAATTAAATGTAAAAATATTTAAAAACAAAATGACTAAAACTAAAATTGCTCCTGTCTTCCAGGGTCTGTTCAGGAGGAAAGTGTCCATCGCCAACATGCTGGCGTGGAGCAGCGAGCCCATCAAGAAGCCCATGATCATGACGACGGACCGTACGGTGAAGCGCGAGGCCGTGGAGCTCTTCAGACTCATCCAGAGCTACATGGGTGACCGGCGGGGCAAAGGCGAGCCGCTGGTGGTGGCTCTGGAGGTGGTGGTGAGGGGCTGGAGCTGCCAGGGCCTGCGGGATGAGCTCTACATCCAGCTCTGCCGACAGACCACCGAGAACTTCCGCTACGACAGTCTCCAGAGAGGCTGGGAGCTCATGGCCATCTGTCTGGCCTTCTTCCCCCCGACGCCTCGCTTCCACAGCTACCTGGAGGGCTACATCTACAGACACATGGACCCGCTCAACGACACCAAGGGTACGAGACACCCGACACCAGAAACCCTGTTAAACCATCCGTGCATTTCCTGCTGATCTGGCATCCGGCCGAACTCAAACTAAATTGGTGCAGGGTTTACGTTAAAACAGCTTTCACTCAGAAATCACTAGTGAATTTCACAAACAATGACAAAACGGCAAGTAACACATTGCATTAAACGTGAAATTATGACATTATTTCAAGTCTTATAATATGAATTTAAAATATTTTATATATTTTTATTTATAATATGAATTTAAAATATTCAATACGTAATGTGTTTTTTTTCTGACATTTTTTTCACTTCACTGTGAAGGAAGAGTACATTTTATTTTATTATCACTGATGTAATATTATACTTCTTTTTTAATATTTTGAAATTTGATATAATTTTCATTATTTTGTGTTTTAATTTTAATTAAAGTTTTAGTAATTTTGTTGTGTTTTTATCATTTTAATTTTGTAATTTTTTTATCATTGTTTATTTTTTTTAGTTTCTATTTATTAACTTCAGTTTTTAGTTTTAATTTATTTAGTTTTAGTTGAATTGAGTTTTTATTAAATAGAAGTTTTACTCAGAATTTGCTAGTCAATTTCACAAACTGACGAAGAAACGGCAAGTAACACATTGCATTAAACGTGAAATTATGACATTATTTCAAGTCTTATAATATGAATTTAAAATATTTTATATATTTTTATTTATAATATGAATTTAAAATATTCAATACGTAATGTGTTTTTTTTTCTGACATTTTTTTCACTTCACTGTGAAGGAAGAGTACATTTTATTTTATTATCACTGATGTAATATTATACTTCTTTTTTAATATTTTGAAATTTGATATAATTTTCATTATTTTGTGTTTTAATTTTAATTAAAGTTTTAGTAATTTTGTTGTGTTTTTATCATTTTAATTTTGTAATTTTTTTATCATTGTTTATTTTTTTTAGTTTCTATTTATTAACTTCAGTTTTTAGTTTTAATTTATTTAGTTTTAGTTGAATTGAGTTTTTATTAAATAGAAGTTTTACTCAGAATTTGCTAGTCAATTTCACAAACTGACGAAGAAACGGCAAGTAACACATTGCAATAAACATGAAATTTTGAGAATATTATTTTAAGACTTACATGAATTTAAAACATTTCATATATTTGTATGTGTAATATTTTATTTATAATATGAATTTAAAATATTTAAAATGCAGTCTATCACTTTTTTTAAATAGCCAATAACCTTTATTTTGCATTACAGATTGATAAAACCACACTTAATAGTTTATAATCTGGACAGAAGCAATGAAGACACTATCAAAATAAATACATTCTCACAGAAGAGTCAGATTTTAGACATTTTTTCACTTAACGTAGGAAAGTTATTTTAGTATCACTGACTGATTTTTGCTCCTATTTCATTTTATTGAAGTTTTAGTCATTTTGTTGTGTGTTTTTGTTGTAATTTTTATTCGTTTTTTTTTTTCTTCAATATACATGTGTATTATATTAAATGTTAAATATTTGAGATATATTAATATAAAATTATACAATATAAATCACATTAGATATATTAAATTATATTAAATAGAAATTAAATTTTTAAAAAAGTTTTTTAGTTTTATAAAGTTTTTAGTTTTAATTTATTTATTTATTTTAGGATTTAATTAGTCATATTAAGTAAGTTAGTTTAGTAATATTTTATTTATAATATTTTATAATATGATTTTAAAGTATTTAAAATATCAAAATGAATAAATTCACTTGGTTGTGCAGGAAGAGTAAACATACGAATGTTATTTTAGTATCACTGACTGATTTTTGCAAATTTAATTTTAATTTTAGATAAAGTTTTAGTCATTTTGTTGTGTTTTTGTTGTCATTTTATTTATTTATTGTTTTTAAATATGCTTGTATTAAATGTTAAATACGTGAGATATAATAAACTAAAATTATATAATATAAATTATATTCAATATATTACATTTTATTAAATAATAGTTTTAAAGGTTTTTAGTTTGATCAAGTTTTTATAAATTATATTAAATAATAATTGTAAAGTTTTAAAGGTTTTCAGTTTTATAAAGTTTTTATTTTTATTTTTTAGGATATAGTTAGTCATATTTAGTAAGTTAGTTAGTTAGTTTAGTAATATTCCATTTATAATATTTTATGATTTTAAAGTATTTAAAATATAAAAATGACTAAATTCTCACATTTTTAGATTTTTTTTTTTCACTTTGAAAGAAGAGCAAACGTGCGAATGTTATTTTAGTATCACTGACATACTATTATAATTTCATATTAATTCATTGATTAATGTTAATATTTAGAATTTTATTTTATTTTTTATATTTCGTTTTAATTTTAATTTGAGATACATTTACTCGAGAAGCAACAGTTATTATTAAGCTCTTAAGATACTGAATATCTGAATCTGATTCATCCAGAGAGTGTGTTGTGCGTTATATTTGACGTCTGCTTGTGTTTCTGTGTTGCAGGAGTAGCGATTAGCAGCTATGCAAAATACTGTTACCGTAAACTACAGAAAGCTGCGCTCACCGGAGCCAAGAAGGTGTGTGACTTTACTTTATCAGAGCATCAACTCAAACACGTTTCTTTACTCAGAAACTGCTTGTTAATTTCACAAATAATGACAAAGAACCTGCAAGTAACAATCGGTTAAACATGAAATTTTGACAATATTATTTTAAGACTTATAACATGAATTTAAAAGTCGCTTGCGAAAACACAATAACGGCGCCGTGGGTGGAAATTTACAGATTAAGGGGCGGTGATATTATAATGAGATCCCTTTGTGACGTCACCAAGAGAGCGAAATCAGACGTGCTCATTTTCTCAGACGCTTTCAGAAAAAGACTTACCAAAACAAAGTTACTGGGTTAATCTTTTTCACGTTTCCTTGGTTGGTAGATGCACCGGGGACCTGATTATAGCACTTACAACCTGGAAAAGTCAGATTTTCATGATATGTCACCTTTAAACGTTATAATATGAATTTAAAATATTTAAAATATATGCAGTCAGTGAAAATGTGAATGTAATCAGTATCATTTTATTATGTTGACTATTACTTTAAAACTTATAATATGCATTTCAAATATTTGAAATATTTGAAACATACGGTCAGTGAAAATTTTTATGTAATCAGTATTATTTTACTATTACTGTATTTTGACAGTATTATTTCAAATCTTATATGAATTTAAAGTATTTAAAATGTATGCAATTATGTGATTGTAATGTAATCAGTATTATTTAATTTTTTTAAATATTATTTTAATGTATGCAGTCATTGAATGCAATCAGTATACTTTTATTATTATTTTGGCAATATTATTTTCAAACTTATTATAATATGAATTTAAAATATTTTAAATATTTTAAATGTATGCAGACAGTGAAAACGTGAATGTAATCAAAATCATTTTATTATTATGTTGACAATATTATTTTAAAACTAATAATATGAATTTAAAATATTTAAAATGTATTCAGTGCAATGCATTGAATTAAACAAAATTTTGAAGTAAAGAGACTGAAATAGTTTTTTTAACAGTGTATTTTAGTTTTTACATTGAATGAATTGTTTCTGATGTTCAGTCGTGTCTGGTTCATGTTTGCTGTGTTTGGGCTCTAATGTGGCGTATGTGATAATTGGCTGGTTTGGCCTGCTATTTAATGGTTTTAATTAACATTCAGTTTCCAGAATTCCGAAAGTCGTCCTGGAGACGTTGCCATGACGACGAGCGGCGTTTCAGACAACCGTGTGGTGATTTACGCGCTGACAGCACTGATGCATGATGGGTGCAGTGTTGCCAATTTAGCTACTTTGTAGCTAGATTTAGCGAATTTAGCTACGTTCATCTTTATATAGATCAGTGAATTTTCAATTGAAAACAGTTGGCAACACTGGACGGGTGTCATCGCACATGTGTTTGTATTCCCTGGCGTGAAAGACGCTCGTGTGTGCATGTGTGAAGCGTATACAGTACATATCTATGGTGTGAAGTAAACGTTTGTGACGCCAGTCGCCTGTGGAGATTCCAGTCGCTGCAAACGGCCAGTAAGTGGAGTTTGTGTGTAAATGTGTGTTTGTGCCAGACGCTCAGCAGGCTACCGCTTCACACCACGGCTCCGCTCCAAAACCTAGTGTGCTGCCTACATAGGGATCATTCAAGGCATCATATGCACATACATTAAAGGTAAAAAGGCAGGGATCCTAGTGTGGGATTTCATTTTAGTCATTTCCAGATCTGGAAAAGTATGAAAAAGCACAGTATGGATCAAATATAAAAAATTGAGAGTTTCCTAAAAAAAACAAATGATTGTTTAACATGACAAAGTATTTTCTTTATGCAAATAAATAATAAGAAATTATTTCATCTGTAAATTTATAGTAGAGCAAATATATTATACTGTATAACATATCCTATTATTTAGAAAATAATATTTTATAAATAAATGTAATCAGTTATATTTTTGTTACAGTATACCTTATAATATTAATTTAAAATAAAATTTTCTAAATAAATGTAATCACTGACAATATTATTTTCAAACAAATAATATGATTTTTTTATATATATATACACACATACATATATATATATATATATATATATATATATATAAAATCAGTAATCAATATTTTATTATTTTAACAAGATTATTTTTAAACTTATGATTTTAAAATATAAAAATCAGTAAAAATGTGAATGTAATTAGTATTAATTTATTATTATTTTGACAGTATTATTTTAAAACTTATAAATTTAAAATATTTTCTAAATAAATGTAATCAGTGACAATATTTTTTTTATATGTAATATGTATGCAATCAGTGAAAATGTGAATGTAATATTTTATTATTTTGACAAAATTATTTTAAGACTTTTAAATTTATTAAATTTTAAATTAAAAATCTATGCAGTTAGTGAAAGTGTGAAAGCATTTATTTTTATTTTAGCTCTGCAATTTTATTAAGATTGCCGCACACTGAAATTTGAGCTAAATATTTGGCAGCATAATAACATACATTTTCAGAATGTAACATATATGTAACAGCTGGATTTTAAAACCGTTTATCAGATGTTAAACATACAGAAGTCTGGAAAAGTCTCCATGTTGAAATGGATAATGTGTAGGAGCTCGTCTGCAGACTGCGCAATCCCAGCATGCACTGTGATGATTTCAGCACAGAGCCACACTCCTTTTCTCAGTTGTTTTCTGCTGTCTGTGTGCGCAGGGTTTGAACAAGCCCTCGATCGAGGAGATCGCTCACGCTCGTAACGCCATCTTTCGGCCCTCCATGTTCGGCTCGTCTCTGGAGGAAGTGATGGAGATCCAGAAGGACCGTTATCCCGACAGGCAGCTGCCGTGGGTCCAGACGCGCCTGTCTGAGGAAGTGCTGAACCTGAACGGAGACCAGACCGAGGGCATCTTCAGGTCAGACATCAGCCTTATAGGGGTGTGACTCTTCACTGCTTTCACGATGGGATTCCATTACGATTATCATGTCAACGATTCATTTCAGTTCGATATCATGATGCATTGCATCCTTTCGAAAAATTGACCCTTATGACTGGTTTTGTAGTCCAGGGTCACATATATATATTAGTGCTGTCAAACGATTAATTGCATACAAAATAAAAGTTTTTGTTTGCATAATATATGTGTGTATACTTATTATGTATATATAAATACTGTCATGGTCACTCGGGGAGGAGGGAACGAAGAGACGCAGGAGAATATTTCAACATGGAATGAGGACACAGGAAGAACCAAATAAGGGCAAACAGGAACATACACGTGACAAATACACACTCATACAGTATATATTTTGAAAATATTTACATGCATTTACATCTATATATTTATATTTATATAATAGATATTATATATAAATACATTTAATATACCTTGCATGGCACTGGCGCTCGATGCTGAAAAGGCTTTTGACCGAGTGTCATGGCGTTTTCTGCTCAAAGTGTTAAAAAAATACGGATTTGGTCCTAACTTTATTCATTGGATAAGGCTGCCGTACACTGCTCCCCAAGCTATTGTTAGGGTTAATGGTTGTTTGTCTCAACCCTTTACACTTGAACGGGGAACGAGACAGGGATGCCCACTGTCTCCTCTTCTTTTTGCCCTTTGTATAGAGCCATTAGCTGAGATAGTTAGGAGCAACCCGGACATTCAGGGAATAAGAGTAGGAAGAGAGATACATAAAGTGTCATTATACGCAGATGACGTAATTGTATATATTTCCGATCCATTACACTCGGTCCCCACACTAATGGAATGTATTAACCAATTTGGTAAACATTCAGGTTATAAAATCAATGTTGGGAAAACTGAAGCTCTAGCTATGAATACTCTTATTACAACTCAGATAAAGTCCTTCTTTTCTTTCAGATGGCCTAAAGAGGGGATTAAGTATCTAGGTGTGGTTATATTATAAGTATAATTAGTATAAGTTATATAAGTATGTATAATAAGTTATATAAGTATAATAATTATAAGTATCTCCAGATTCGAAGTTTCCTTTTTAAACATCCAAATTGGAAAATGTTCAAAACTACCCCATCAGCAATTGAGACTTTGTTGATTAATGTGCAGAATGGTAACAAGACCCTTAGACCAATTAGCTGTATATACAGGGCTCTGGAAGACATGAAGAAGGACAACACAGATTATATAAAATTCAAATGGGAGCTCAAGGTAGTGATATCTGACGAGAATTGGGCTGAAATACATGTAGAAACACATAGAATAACATGTAGTAGAATCTGGAGGGAATACTATTGGAAGGTGACTAATCGTAATTTTCGAATGCCCCAAATGGTAGCCAAATTTAATTCAAGTCAATCCAGTGCCTGCTGGAGGGAGTGTGGAGAACAAGTAGAAACGCATACGCACATCTTTTGGGAATGCCCTATTCTAGTTCCTTACTGGACAAATGCATTTGGTTTCATTAATAAAAATTTTCAAGTTAATTTACCCAGAGACCCTTTAATAGCTATCTTGGGAGTTAAGACAGATTTAATAAAAAGTGAGAAGAAGAGAAGGTACCTCCTACGAATACTCCTAGTTTCAGCAAAGAAGAATATTACAATTAAAGAAGGCCACCTATACTCTTGATGAATGCTTACGGACAGTGAGAGAAATCTATGAGATGGAAAAAATAACGTACATGTTATGACTCAGAATGAGTCTGTTTGCTGAACAATGGAAACCCTTAATGAAAGAGCTGGGTGAGATATGGGGTGGAAGCTTTTAAACACCTTTTTTTGTTTTTTTCCTTTTGAATGGATTGGCTGGTTAACTCTTTGTCGTTATTGAACATTTTGATCCCATCCAAGGCTGTTGTTATGTGTTTATTGGTTTTGATGGTTTCGTTATAGTGGTGTATTGTTATTCCAAATTTCTTATTTTGATCTATTTATTTATTTTTCTTGTCTTTGCTCTGTACTCTTTTTGTCATTCTGTAAAATGTAGTTATGATGTTGGTTAATAAAAAATAAGTAAAACAAAATATATACATTTAATATACAAATATAACATATTTTTCTTAAATATATACGTGCTTGCGAGTGTATTTATATATACATAATAAATATACACAGTACACGCACATATATTATGTAAACAAAAACGTTATGTTGGATGCGATTAATCGTGATTAATCATTTGACAGCACTAATATATAAGGGTTCAAATACGGTTTTGAAGAATAAAATGTCAAAATTTGGTTGAAATAATGTTCCATTGTCATTCAGTGTAACACTTATAGTTATGTAAAAATTCAAATAACATGCTTATTCTGACCTGTACATATTAAAATATAGAAAAGAATAAGTGAGCATATAACATTTTATTGGGTTTTAAATGAGTAAAAAATTCTTACTGACAAATGGG